AATTTTCTCAACATCATGTGCAATCTTATATTGCTGAATTAAATCATTTCTAACTCGTCTATTTTCTAGTTTGGTTAATCCAAGTATTGTAAGTCTTTCTTCATATGATTTATGTTTGATGCCTGTGATCAGCTTCGTCGCACGCTTTTGAATGCTTTTGAGAGCCTTGATGTCTTCCTTTAGATGTGGCGACCACGATTGGATGGTGGATTCAAGGTGTGGTCTAACTTACGATTTGTAAAGAACTTTCCAAAGTATGAGATTTCTGTTTTTAAAGGGTTTCTTAAGCCGACCAAGTACCTGGTTTGCTCTTGCAGCTGATACTTCAACTTGATGCTTGACTTTTAAGTCTTCTGAAATAAGAACACCTAGATCTCGTTCGACTGAAGTCGTATACAGTTCTTGTCTTATTCCCATCTGATCAGTCATTGTGTAGACGAAGACTGATTTGTTGGAGCGACCTACGTGCATGCATTTACATTTGTCCAAGTTAAATAGTAATAGCCACTTTTTGAACCATTCTACAGGGCTATCAATATCTAGCTGAAGACGTAAGTTGTCCTCCTCTGTTTTGATTACACAACTCTTTGCTTTCAGTTAGCCAGCCAGTTTGATAACCACCTGAAGAGTGAGCCGCATAAACCATAAGCTTTAAGTTTATGCAGAAGTCTTTTGGGCAGTACTTTGTCGAAGGCTTTCGCAAAATCAGTGTATATCACGCCTATGGAATAGCCATGATGTACTGCATGTGTCAGAATATCATGAGCTTCTAGTAGATTAGACACACAGCCCCGCTTAGGTAAAAAACTGTATTGAGCTTTTGAGAACAGACTATTGTAATAGCATTTTGTTTTGTTATAGCATTTGTCTTTTGAGAATAGACTATTGTTATAGCATTTTGAGAATAGACATATTGTTATAGCGTTGTTATATTGATTCGCTCATGAATGAAGCTCTCCATTATCTTGCATGGTACTAATGTTAGTGATATTGGTCTGTAGTTTGAGCGAAAACTCAACATTGCTTGTAAATGCTGTCCAATGGAATGTTACATACAAAGATTTAATGTCAAAATTAGTATGTGATACAAGCAATAATGAATGCATGGTTCATAGATGTGCCAAATGTCCAGGTTATGATAACTTAAAGGCATTTTTAGATGAGGAATTAATTGAGATTGATGAAGAAGAAATTCAATTTAATCAATGGCATAGTACTGATTGATCACAATTAACTACTCCGAGAGTTAACTTGAATATAAAGAACTAGTTGTTTCTCACATTAACCATTTAACTACACATTTATATATTGCTAAATGGCAAACTAGCTTTTTTTTTTTTTTTTTTTTTGTTTGTTAATTCACCTGCTCAAGGCCTTGTGGTTATAACCTTCTCTCTACTCTATAACTCCGAAACACGAACCTTGACGAACAAGGCCGCTGCGTCGAGAAATGAGCGATTTGAAAGAGCTAAAAAATAATTTAGGTTACAATTAATGTATTATACAGGTAGATTTTGCAGAGAACTATCAATTTGTTATACAGGATGAAATACAAAGTTATCATTGGAATAAACAATAATGTACACTTCATCCTGTTGTTATATATTTTGAAGATTTTTTTAAAACAAATATTCAGCATAAGTCATTCTGTTTTTTAAGTGATGACAATGATCATGATACATGCTTTGTGTATGAATTTCAAAGGAAAACTGTAGAGTAAATTAAGAAATATTTAGTTGGTATCAATAAAATTTATCATTTTTCTGATGGATGTTCTGCTCATTATAAAAACTAAAAAAACTTTATGCCACCATAAGGAAGATTTCGAGATTACAGCTGAATGGGTATATTTTGCAACCAGCCATGGGAAATCCACTTGTGATGGCATAGGTGGTTAAAAGAATAAGCAAGCGCAAGTTTGCAAAGACCATTGGAAAACCAAATATTGACAGTTGATAATATGCTTGAGTTTTGCATTACCAATATAAACACAATCATATTTTATAAAAGAACTAAAGAAACAGTTAATGCAAGGCGACAGCAAGGAGCAATTTGAAACAGGAAAAACTGTTCTAGGTACCAGAAGTTATTATTACATACTCATTTCAAAATTTGATATTAATTTTAAAAGAACAAGCAAACATTAATGTGTTGACGAATTTATACTGTCAAAAGCAGTGATGTCTGATGTTTTAATTGTTTCAAATCTAAATGATTTTGTTGCATGCAAGTACGATTCCTTTTGGTGGATAGGTATAGTTACAGAGATAGATATTACTACAAATGATATCCAAATTAAGTTTATGCACCTTCGCAGCATCATTTGGCCACAGAGAGATGATATCTATTGGGCAACATTGCTGAGTTTGAATCAGGGCGAACATATAACATTGATGTAAATGATTATAACACAATAACTAAAAGATTTTAATTTTTTTGAGTTTTTAATTTTTAAACTTTGTATATTACTTTGGTTTTTTGAACTTCGTTCCAAGTGCTCTATTAGTTTTGGAGTCTTTGTTTTTTAAGTTTATTAAATGAAGTTTGATAAATATGAAACTAATGTTTTATAAGTAACAACTTTAAGTATATTTGAAATGTTTTATTTCTGATTTAAGCAATCTGATTCTTTGTAATAACAAAACTATTTAATGCAATTTCTGAGGAAAAAAAAAAAAAAAAAAAACTAAATTTGCAATATACATACCCATTTATATAATTTTCCCCCTTTAAAACCAAAATTTAAGCAAATTTGTCTGTGCTTTTGTTTCTGTTTTAGAAAAGACCACTTGCCAATTCTTTGTAATAACTATAACTTAACTATTCAGGACAACTTCCAAAAAAAAAAATCAAGCTACATCTGCATTTTTGTGATTGGACTTGCCCCAGTAAAATTGTGGTAAAAGTTTAAATTTTAGGTGTTATGTCTGTTTTTAAATATTTTAAATTGTCTCATTGGATTCGTTGGCCCAAAATACGTAGAACTACAAATTTTTAGCTTTCTAACACTCATAAAACAGAAACTAGGACCAAAACCATTTATAAAAATGGCGGATTTTTGTTGGTTGGAGGCAAATTTAAAATAGCTATATCTAAGGAACCGATTGAAATTAGACGATAATTTTTTCAGGATGTTCATAATTTACTAAAATCTTTAAGTGGTTTAAAAACCAGCAAAATCTGAGACTTAGAATTGCATGCCCTGGATGTTTTCAGATTGAATCACCCTGTTTATTTGACTGTAATAAATTTTCTAGAAACATCAAACTTGTTTATCAATTTTAAAGATCTTATTATCTAAACAATTTATATTCAATTTAAGACTTGTTACACATTTTTAACCTAAAAATAAAAATTCATGCCCTGTTACACACTTTTAACTAATAAAGAAAAAAAGTAAACAAAGAAGAATTAATTCAAAACAACTCTTCCTCTACAAGAATAAACTCAAAAAAGTAAGATTATGCTAAATATTCTAATGTGCTACTGTTTTTTCAAAATTAACACCTCATTTAAGTGCATTATGGACATCAATGTTGTCAAATTGAGTTGATAAATCACCAAAAATAGAAAAGCAGTTATGACAAGGTTGTGAAAACCTAAGAAAATATTGTTCCTCATAAACTATACCTCGAAACTACAAAAGAAAGGAAAACAGGCAAGGTTATAAATTAAGTTAAACACAAGAAGACATAGAAACAGCTGCAGAATAGAAAACCATAGATTTACCATGAGGAAAACTGCTAAAACTTATGACTAAGGTAAAATATGGAAATTAAGTTCCAAAAAAGCATGATGAACAAGCCAGATTTGGTAGTTCAATGAAAAGTTTATTTATTTAAAACAATTACTTATATGACTAAATATGGGAATTCGGTACCAATTGAATCTATATACATAAGACTTCTATTTAAATGTTATTTTAATAAAAAGAAGATAGCTGATTTATAATTCAAAAATAATATGCCAAGGGTAGATTGAGTTTATTCTTTTATGAGGAGGCATTATTTAACAAAAAAGGTTTCTGACAATGTTAAAAATAATTGGGTTTTAACTTTTTTTTAAATAGTAAAATTGGGTTGTAGTCACTAAAGAAACCAAATTTGTTTTAATACATTGTTTAATAGGGAATTAAAACAGAATGTTTTAAACTTTGTTTGGAAAGTTTTTGCATGAACTAAAAAAATTGAAATAAAAAGCTCTTTGCAAAATAAACTTACTGTTATCTGTTTGATCTTAAACAATATTTGCCCTCCCCCCCCCCCCCCTGACTTTACAATATTTTAATCTAGCCAAAATCTAAAGAACAAAAACGTTATCTAGAGTTCAAAGTCACCCCAAATCAGCTGTTCATTTTTATCTTATATTACAGATATGTTTATGCTCATATAAAATTATAAAATTAAGATATTTACTGCATAGTGTTGACCCTAGGACTTCTCAAAGTAGCTAAAAAGTATGTTCTGTATAAAAAAAAGTAGAGATTAGAGCAACAGTTTTCTTCCATAATGCAAAAATGCTTAGAGAGTGTTTATAGCCAGACTTAATGACAATATGCTAAGCCACTGGCACACTATAACAAGTAGTAGCACAGAGTTTAGCAGATTGCAAATAGTCCGAAAATTCATATAAAACATATAAAGTTGATTCTCTTGCTGCTAAAAAAAATGTATTCTGTTATGTCCTGTATACACCAAAAGCTGCTGATTTTCTTTTTTTTTTCCTTTTTAAATTTAGTGTTTATTATTTGAACTTGAGTTGATCAATTTTTATGACAATATAGATCGCAGCTGAAGAAACACGTTTGAATTAGACCCTTTTTATTCGATCCAGTAAAAAATTTCTTAAAAAAAACAACACTTATTTAAATTTTTTCATCAACTGGAAGTTTCTCGTAAAGTTTTTTGTACAGTCATAATAAAGTTTTCCGACTTTAACAAGCTACATATGGGACTTTTTCTTATAACTTTATTTATAATTCTTGCTAAAATAAAATTTACCTAGATAGTCTCGACCTTAATGCTTCTTCAACTATGTTGTTATTAATTTCTAAAAGAATCATCTTCAGTAACTGAGTGAGACAGAAAGTAACAAGCGATAAAATTTTGTTTTACTATAGATCGGGAGTCGATCTTTCTCGCTGTCTCAAAACCTACAACAACAATCAAGGCAAAAATCCTTAGATGGCGCGCCCTACTCTTTACCTAAAAAACTTTAATAAATGTCATCATGGAAGTCGAAAACAATTTTATACTGTCATGATAATATAATTAGACAATTGAAGGGAAAGAGATTCAAAACATCTATTAAGAGAGGGAGGGCGACTTTTAGATTTTATGAAGACTTAGATTTTATGAAGTAATCTCCATTCCTAATAGGCACAGGACCTCGAAAAGACGTCTTTTGAACGTTTAAAAGACGTTAAAAACGTTTAAAAGACGTTTGAAATATGTCTTTTTTACGACCCGTGTCTACTGGGTTGATAAATATTTTCTAAGACAAGTTAAAACAGCTTTGCATCTATCTCTGTTCTTAACTATACATTTATGTGCAAGAAACGTCGTGAAGCGTTTCTATTTATCTCCAAAATCACAATTAGAACCCAAAATTAGTGGGCTGAACTATAAAAAAATTCATTTCTAGAATTCATTTCTAAAGTGAACGTTCTTACAAATTTTATTTAAGTACAATGTTAACAAACCTGTTATATAATTTTGTATTACAAACAAAGCCACCTTTTTTACATGATATTGCGGGTACGTATTTCAACTTTGTTATTTTCTTTGAAGCACTATGTTGTTTGTTAGCCTTCAATATTAGATACAAAATCTTCTTTACAATGGATTTAGGGCTAATTAATTACTTTTCTCATTTATTATAGAACACTCGATCAGTGGTGTATTCAGCATTTTTGGGTAATTGAGATAGTTGACTTCCAGCCATGGAGCAAACTCTAACCATTTTTAATTTTATAATTATGTCAAATAAAGATGCTTTAAAAAAAATTGCAATAATTGGGGTGTGGGAAAAAAAACAATCAATATTTTGCCACCCTTGCCAAAACGTGAGAACAACAAGTTGAGAAAACATTTTTTTATTCCCAATTTAATTAATGTTTATCAATAATATCTTTAACAACCGCATAAAATTTGTAACCCCCTCAGGCGATTTCAAAGTTTAAGTCTTTAATTACTTTTATTATGTATTTTATTAAAATTTTTGTTTTATGATTTTCATTTAAAAAATATTTTTTAATTAAAAATATTTTATAAGTATATTAACATTAAGTGAAAATCAAACAGACAAAACTAAAAAACAAGTAATATACTAAGATAAATATATATAAAAAATGGTAAATATAAAAAAGATCATATGGAAAAAAATTATATAATTTATTAAATAAATTTAAAACAAATTTTTATATGACTATTATTTTTGTTTTGATTTTCAACTTGTTTTGGAGTAAATTAAGAAATTTGTCCTTGTATAGAAATTTGAAGAAAAGTATATATATCATTTAATTGAAGAAAAAGGGTTAAAAAGCAGAGCTGAGTGTAGAAAAATGAGTTTATTTATTATAGTATATTTATATAAATACATTTATATATAGTTATTTTAGCATTATATAGTCAAGGTTATTCAGCACAAGAAATTGCTTCAAAAACCAATGTTTCTCAAAATGCAGTCTAGAGAGCGTGCAAAGAAAGCATGAAACTGACTGTAATCATTGTTTGGGGAGGCGCTGAATTACGGAGAAAAGTTTATCTGTGCTCAAAATAAAAGAAATTGTACTCGAACTGCTCCTGAAATTTGTCAAGAACTTAATTCCATGCAGGAAACACCAGTATCTGTTTCAACCGTAAAATAATACCTTCGTAAATTACGCCTTGAAAAGTTGTCTTGCTGCCAAAAAATTATTACTACACAAACTAAATAAAGTTAAAAGATTGAGATGGGCAAAAACAAAGATTAGAAAATTGAAAAATTGGTCTCAAGATTTGTTCAAAGATGAATCAAAGTTTAACATTTCTGGAGGAAAAGATTGGCAATTATTTTCTCGGTTTATTGGAGAACGCATAATGAACAATGCGTGATCCTTTAAGTCAAGCATAGTTAAGGGTCAGTCATGGTCTGGGGACGTTTTATTGGAAACAAAGTTGGTGACTTTGTGCAAGTTCAAGGCATTATGGATAAAAAAACAGCCACAAATTCTCCAAAAAAAATGCATTTCTTGTTTTTCACAGGATAATGATCCAAAATACACTTCTAAATTCTACTGAAAATATAAAAATAAAAAGAACTAAAATGCTTTAGGCCTCATCAGTTGTCTGATTTAAATCCGATCGAGTTATTGTAGGACAAAATATTATAAAAATGCAACCAACCAATCAAAAATACTTTTGAGTATTCATGCAAAAATGCTGGAATTAAATATCAACTAAATCATTGCAGAAGTTAATTGTATGGATGGATAGCACACGTGCTGCTGTTATAAAAGCGAAAAGAGGATACTTTAAAGATTCAAAAATTAAAAAAAAAACTAAAAGATTTAATAAAAGTATATTGATAAAAGATTATTTTACTGTAAAAAACATGGGTAACTAAAAGCAATTGGAAAAATCTATGTTTAACAAAAAAAAAAAAATAATTATTGCATGATTTTTTAAATATCTCCTACTTTGCTAAAAGTTTAATAATTTTACTGTAAACTATAAAGTTCATGGTTATCCATTTTAGGATAACCATGAACTTCATTCAGTTATGTTAGATTTTCAACCAATCTCAGAAAGAAAATTTTCAACACCAGGGATCCAGCAACATAGCTTAAAATAACGGACAAAATAATATAATTTTTAATTCAGCATCGCCCAGAGCAAGAAAGAAGAAAATTTTTTCTAAACGCGCCGTGTGATTTTTTTTTTTTTTTTTTTTTTGTTCTTTATTACAATATTTAATACAATATTTACAAATATATAATAAGAAAAATTTACATGCAAAAAAAATCGTTACAAAAAAATAAAGAATTAAGAAGCATCTGACTCGATCACTGATTCTTGTTACTCAAATCTATCAGTTACACTGATCTTAATTGTTAATTAATTAATAAATAAACGAAAATAATAAGAATATGATTGCACTAGGTACATCCAAATGCACTTCAAGATTGTCCAAAAGATTGTGTAGAAGAATTTAGATAGCCAAATGATGGTGTCATTGTGTGAGAAGCCATAATTATCAAATGTTGGTGCATTTACGTTAACGCTTTCGCCGACAAAAATGCTAAACCACTGTCAAAGGATGATTAACTTCCAAAAGTATCATACATACAATGTTTGCAGATACATCCAGTCACATACATCAAATTTTTTTTTGTATTTTTTTTTTTTTTTTGTATTTTTTTTTTTTTTGTTTTTTTTTAATAATAATATATATATATATATTTTTTTCATTACAAAATTAAATTCAATATTAAAAGTATATACCGTTCGTAATACAAATTATTTACAAAATTACGAAATAAAATAAAAATTAAAGTAAACAAGTAAATAATAAATGCCTACTGTACAAATAATGTCAGTGGAACTTTTAACAAAATTCAAATAATGATGTTTAACTACAGTTTCTGACATAAACTTTAAATCAATATTGTATAAAAGTAAAATATAAATGAGTGTTGACAAAACTGGGTAAAATTAAAAGTATATAAATATATTTTGAATTAAGAATATTACTTTTTTTAGTTTTCGTTTGAACATATAATAACTCCATTCATGAGAAAAATCAAAATTTTTTAAAATTATTTGGTTCCATAAAAAACCTCCACGAAAAGAAATGCAAAATTTACCAAAGTTTGTTTGAAATTTTGGTTGTTTAATAAAATTATCATTTCTTAAAGAATATTTGTTTTTTTCTTTTAAAGAATATAAATCAAAAAAGGAAGCTGGAGAAGAGTTGGTTTTACATTTAAACATAAAACAAAGAACATTATAAACATTTACTTGATATATATTAAAAACATTCATGTTAAATAAAAGTGACCTTGAGTGAGTAAAACGATTTTTGAAATTTATAATACGTGCAATATGCTTCTGCTGACAATAAAGTGGCTTTAATTTACTTTTATGGGTACTACCCCATGCAATATTAGCATAATTAATATGACAGTGTATGAAAGAGTAATATAGTTGAGTTAGTGCATGTTTGTTTAAAACGCTTCTTGCTTTATATAAAACTCCAATGCTTTTTGCAATTTTGTTGCATAAATGTCCGATGTGATTCTTCCATGATAGATTTTCATCAACAATGATACCTAGAAAATTTGTGAAAATTACTCTTTTTATTTGAATATTATCAATATGAAGAAGAGGCATATTACTTGGAAGTAAATGTTTTTTAAATCGTGGATGAAAGAAAATCCATTTAGTTTTATCAATGTTGAGTGAAAGTTTATTTAACTTAAACCAGTCAGATATTTTTATAAGTTCAATGTTCATATCATAAAAAAGTTTGTCGATGTTATTATTTGATAGGAATAGGTTTGTATCGTCAGCAAACATTATAGTTGTTAATTTTGAGACTTGAGATGGAGATCGTTAACATAAATTAGAAATAATAAGGGCCCTAGTATAGATCCCTGTGGAACTCCACAGGTTATATTTAGATAATCTACATTTAAATAATCTTGTGAAGAAGATCCGTCGATATAGACAAATTGTTTGCGATGTTTTTAATAGCTTTTTAGTAGTTTTAAAGCATTACCGATGATACCATAATGTTCAAGTTTTTTAAACAGTATTTCATGGTCAATTGTGTCGAAAGCCTTAGATAAGTCTATAAAGACGCCTAAAGTGAACTCTGACTTTTCGAAAGAATCAGTTATACTACGAGTAAAATGAACTATTGCATGTTCAGTAGAGTTATTTCTTTTAAAACCATATTGGTTTATGTAAAGTATATTATTAATAGCAAGATGATTAGATATTTGATTAAACAAAATTCTTTCTGAAATTTTTGAAAAAACAGAGAGGATAGATATTGGTCGATAATTACTGACATTAGACGGTTCACCTCCTTTAAATACAGGCGTTATTTTGGCTATTTTCAATTGATCGGGGAAAATTCCTTGATTAATAGAACATTTAAAAACTTTAAAAA